TAACTGAGGCCTCGCAAGAAAGTTATTTCACAACAACAGGGTTCCAATAGGAAAAATTATAAGAGCCAAATGGTCGAAGCGAACCATGCTCATATAGATTGGCCCGAACCCAGGCGTGTAATAACGTGCGAAGAAAGCTCTCTTCTTTATCGGCTTCTTATATCCAAGGAAAATTCCTCTATTTTGAGATTTATTATGCAATCAGAATTAAGATAAACTTGACCACTAAGCCTACGGGCTACTTTTATTTCGAGTTCGAGCAAACACTCACTCGACCATTAAGCCTACGGGCTACTTTTATTTCGAGTTCGAGCTAACACTCACTCGACCATTACGCCTACGGGCTACACTACTTCGAGTTTGAATCATTCACTCGACTAAGCTTACGGGCTATTTTTTATTTCGAGTTCGAGCAAACACCCACTTGACCATTACGCCTACGGGCTACATTACTTCGAGTTCGAATCATTCATTCGATTAAGCCTACGGGCTACTTTTATTTCGAGTTCGAGCTAACACTCACTCGACCATTAAGCCTACGGGTTACTTTTATTTTGAGTTCGAGCTAACACTCACTCGACCATTACGCATACGGGCTACATTACTTCGAGTTCGAATCATTTATTCGATTAAGCCTACGGGCTACTTTTATTTCAAGTTCAAGCAAACATTCACTCGACCATTACGCCTACGGGCTACATTACTTCAAGTTCGAATCATTCATTTTGATTAAGCCTACGGGCTACTTTTATTTCGAGTTCAAGCAAACATTCACTCGACCATTATGCCTACGGGCTACATTATTTCGAGTTCGAATCACTCATTCGATTAAGCCTACGGGCTACTTTTATTTCAAGTTCGAGCAAGCACTAACTCGTCCATTATGCCTACGGGCTATATTTCTTCAAGATCGAACCATTGACAACTAAAATGCCTAAGGGCTACATCGCTCCAAGTTTGAGTAAGCGCTCGCTCGGTTACAGAGGGTACAAAGTCCAAATTTGAATAAGTTGTTTAAATCATTGTGAAAACATTCATAAGGCGTGAATAAAGTCGTCACAAGACAGAAAACAAAATCAAAAGCAAGTCGGCAAAAGGGGAGATATGTCTATATACAAATTTATCTGCATAGGTGATTACAACGTAAAAACTAAGAACTAAACTTCTCGGTCAGGAGCGGTCTCCCCCCATTTTTGGATCCGCTTTTGCTCCCATCGTCATCGTCATCGCTATCAGAAACTAGAGCTTCGGCATCGGTTTCGAGTTCTTTGGCCCTTTTTATCTCTTCAGCGAGATCGAAGCCACGAGCATGGATCTCCTCGAGAGTTTCCCTTCTGGATCGGCACTTAGCAATTTCGGCAACCCAATGCGCTCGAATATCGGTGGACTCGGCTGCCTCTCTTGCTTGGACTTGGACAGCTTCGGCATCGACCCGAAAGATAGCCACGAGCTCATCCGCATCGGCCTTTGCCTTTTCGGCATCGGATTCGGCCTTGGCAAGTACAGAGGCCAACAAAGCCTCAAGTTCCTCAATTCTTCTTGCTTGAACCATGCCTTTTTCCTTCATTTTCTGAAGCTGGGTTTCGAACGATGATAACTGGGCTCGAGCAATCTCTTTTTCTGTAGCAAAGCGGTCCATACCTTCTTTCCACTGCAAAGACTCTGTTCTTATCACGTCGACCTCCTCACGAAGCTTCCCGATCATCTCGATTTTTTGCTGCAGCTGTAAGACCGAAATGTTAGCTATCATTCCGGTATCAAGCCCATAGGCTTTCAAAATCATCATTACCTGCTTAGACAAATCGGTCTGATCTCGATAAGCTTTGGCCAGCTCAACTCGGAGGTCTTTTATTTCCTTTTCTCTCTGCCCTAGGGAAATACTAAGGGAGTTCCTCTCATCAGTAGCCCGTTATAGGTCGGCCGCGTATCGATGCAGCTCATTCTGGGATCGAGAACATTGTTCTCGATGAACTTTCGCTGCCTACAAAGAAATAAGAAGCGGAGTTAACGAAAAACGAACATAAAGATAGTACCGACAAAATAATTTTAAAAGCTCACCTGATTCAAATCCTGCCGCAATCCGTGAAAAATATCTGATTCATCACCAACACCGACAACGTCCTCAATACCGGTAAACAGGTCACGAAAGGGATCTTCTTTATCGTGAGGCCTGTCTAGATCGAGGGCTTCTAGAGCTTGGGCTTCCCGAATCACCCCTGTAGAAAAAGCGGGAAAGGTAGGCGAATCCTCGATTGATGCTCCTCGGTTTGAAGGGGTTCAAGGGCCTCTTCGGTAATATCCCCTGCCGGTTGACTCTGATGAGATATGTCTTCGATATCCGATATTTCGGGGACTCTACCCGAATCTTTCTCCGGTATATCTTCAGTTCGAGGCAGAGCCTCATGGAGCATCATCGATCCAGCCGGCGATGAGGCATCGGTGGTTCTCTTCGTTCGGACCGCCAGCGCGGACTCATCGTTCTCTTCTTCTTCTTCTTCTTCTTCTTCTTCTTCTTCTTCATCCCTTAGACGCAGAACGAATTCCACGGTCAAAGGGATGACATTCTTATTCGGCTTACGAGCCGTCCACTTCTTCGATTTTTGATCTCCGGGAACCGAGGCTCTTTTCCTTTTATTTTCCTTCACCGGCTTTGGGACGGAGGCCGAAATTTCCTCCTCATCGGACAAGGGCCTCCAAACCGTATCTTTACCCAAACCTGCATATGGAAAACTTTAATAAAATATTTTTAAAAAAAACCACCTCGTTCGGATCATCAAAGAGTCCGAGAAATGGGCTTATCGTGATTTTTGGCCTCCCACCGACCCTTTGACAAATCACGCCATGAGCGCTCGGCATATGTGGAGGTCAAAACAAGGGCTCGTACCCAGTTCTTGAGATTGGGAATTGCTCAGGGCATCCAGAGAACCACTACAAAAAAAATGAGTATCGATAAGAGAATAAATGAAAGAAGAAAATAGAAGTAACAGCAAGATCACACTTACGTTTCATATTTCACTCCTCGGGAAAGGGCATCTTTTCAGTCGGAATCAGGTCTAAAGTCCTTACTCGAATGAACCTGTCCATCCAACCCCGGTCCCTGTCCTCGTCAATACTTGAGAATAGAGCCTTGGTAGCTCGACGCTGGAGTTTTATTAACCCTCCTCGAAAAAGTCGAGGACGGTACAATCGGATAAGATGATCGAGGGTGAACGGCATCCCCTCGATCTTGCTCACAAAATATCGGATCAGGATAATGATTCGCCACAAAGAATGATGGACCTGGCCTAGGGTTACCTGGTATTGTCGACAAAAGTCAATAATAACGGAATCGAGGGGTCCCAAAGTGAAAGGGTAAGTATACACATTCAAAAACCCTTTCAAGTAAGAAGTGATATCTTCGTCGGGCGTAGGAATTATTATTTCCTTCTCACCCCAATTGCAATCCTTCTTTAGCTGTTCGAGGTGCTTCTCGGTTATCGAACACATGTACCTCGATACCGGCTCACACCTGCCAGGGACCGATGAACCTTTATCGACCTTAAAATCTAAAGTAAGGACATACTCCCCGGGAACACACTCCTCGGGCCGTGGTTTTGCCGGTGTCTTATCGGCGGCACACTGTGAAGATGAAGCCTTCTCTTTCTAAGGAATGATTTGCGATGTTTTCGCCATTTTCGAATTCAAGGGTGAGGAGTAGAAGAAAGTGACAAAGATTTGGTGGAATTGAAGAGGGATTTTTACGGAAAGAAATCACAGATTTACTGGTAAGTTGGAGAGTACGAAGAATAACTTGGGAAATTTGGAAGAAATAAGATGTAAAAATGGTAAAAGATAAAAGAAAGGGTTATTTATAGGTTCAAGCGATGGCGGTTCAGTATCAACAGTGGCCGACCACCGCCTGACATGCATTAAATGCCTTGAAAGGCTAAACCGACGGGACAGCTATCAGATGCGTCATGGTCGAACCCGATGGAAACGACAGGATATAATCCGATCGAGTTGTTAAAATAAAGTCATATCGTTTCTCGCCACATTCTTTCTAAGAAACGAGGGGACTATCTGTATACGGTCGAAATAGATTTCGGCCTTAGCACATCCGATCGAGTTCGAACGATCATTTATCTAAGTAAGATCCCGAAGGTGGAACAAACTAACCTCGAACCGGGGGAGGCTGATCCGTGTCGAGTTCGATATCATTATCGAGCTCGAATCAAAATAGAACCATGATGCAGAGTAGATCTATCATGCTGATAATCCAAAGACCAACCAACGTTGACTTCGAATCAATTCGAGGGTCTGAGCCAGGATCGGGCTCGAACCAATATCACGAGTTCGAGCCGAAATCAAGCTCAAACAAAAATCGAGGGTACCAAGCAAGATCGAGCTCGCAGACAAAAGCTGTTGCAATCCCACTAGAGAGAATCTTGGCAGAAACTATGAAAAAGCTGACTTATCATGGGTCTCCCACTGAATGTTTATATTATTATGCTTAGAGCCAAATCCCTCCACTATAAAAGGGCTTGGTCACTATTTCTGTACAACAAATTTTTCTCAAGCTTACATTGTAATAAAAGTGTTATATTCTTCTACAATAAAGAATCGTTCTTTCAGATTTCTTACATTGATTCTATTTGTTGAATCCTAAGATTCACTGTTCCTGACAACCTTATCTATTTCACACTCTCTGCAATTTATATTTACATTTCTATTGATCCTTATATTTTGTGTTAAGTTACGCCACATATCCTCGGAACTGCGTATTAATTCAACTCTATCCATTTTTCGGGTAAACAGTTGTATTACTAGTATTTATTATAATTTTATTGCACATTCTACTCGGAAAAAAAGGATGATATTCGTCCATTGGGAGTTGAAATTGAGACTAAACGAAGATAGAGGCGAAATCGAGGGGTTTACATATAATTGTAGAGAAATGGAAAGCGATGAATTGGTTTTAACTATAAGTCGCATAAAATGAGACCTAATTTAAAATATATTTTTCTTTTCTTTTTTGAAATTGCAGAATCTCAGGTGACTTGAATTGCCCTTTATTGAAAATAAAAAATAAAACTGTAGCTCGTTTTTCTGTTTCCGATCAAGTGGTAGTTAATTAGGCAGACGGCCGATCCATGGCGGGGAGGAATCAACCGCCGTACAGGCCAAGAGGAGGAGTCAACTTTTCATCTTCTTCTTCTTCCAGATCCTTCCATCCTTCCCGCAACTCAACCAAAAATGTCAATTCAGAAGAACGGAAGAAGACAAGCTCTAGCAATTGGGACAACAAAGCCGCCATTGATGGAGATATTGATGATATTCAGAATTTACCTTCCTTAGTTGGAACCTGCCCTTTCATGTGTCCTGGTACCACCTATTTCCTCACTTTTCCTCTTTCTGTGTTGACATATTATGCTTTTTTGTGTGCGCAAAGATGGAATCTAGCATATAACCTGGTACACACACAAAAAGAAAAAAACCTTTCTTACACTATGTTTGTATCTAATCAATAAATACATAAACTTTTAACATGATTTAATTTATCACTTAACCAGGGTAAATTAACTGGCTCGTTGTAAACAGGAATTTTTTCTGCTTCCTGTACCCATTGTTAGTCTAACTGGATAATATAGAATATTTGAAGTATAAATTTTTATAAAGTATGTTTGTTGTATTTCTCTATCTGCGTTTGTGTCTGTATAAAGAGGTGCAGTTGATACATTTAAATCCTGGTCCATGTGCACCTGCAACTTGAAATAAGTTTGTCTTTTTCTTGGAAAAATAAATTGCAGTTGAGGAGAGGGAAAAGCGAGAGAGGCTGCGGGACTTAGCTGTGTTCGAGAGGCTATATGGAAATCCTGCCAAATCATCACCAAGCCTTGCTGTTAAAAAGGTAGTAATATTTTGGGTATTCTAGTGAGTAGGAATAATTTTGATTAGCTTATTTCTTTACCCTTTTTGTTTGATCTACTGAACTCCAAGCATAGCTGGTCTAGAAAGAGGAAGATTGGTAGGTTGATGACCAGTATAAAAGAATTTATCTTTGATGAATCTTCTGAATACTGAAATAGCCAAATGGATACACAGATTCGCATAGCCAACACTGGATTGATATTGAGGTTTAGTTGATAGTTGAAATTAATTTGTTTGATTGGCTGATCTTAACTAGCTCTGTGTTTCACTTGACAAAGCATTTCTAGATTGTAACCAGCTTGTCAAAAAATGTGGAAAGAGTTTAAGTTGTAATAGCTCTTCAAGCATCTAATGGCCCTTTTGTGAGCATCAATATAAAATAATGGATTAGAAAGTAAATGTTTTGATGTTCAGTGATAATACAGGTGATAGACCGTATTTTTGTTGTCTTTTGGGCCATAAAAGTTAATAGTTAGCTTGGACTGTCGTATAAGAGTTTTACGACACTACAATGCCCCCCACCCCACCCCCTCAAAACTTCTTTAGGTAATGCTAAGTGACTATTCAGTTTTGAGGTTTTGTACGAAAGATGATGAGCTGGTGAATACAACAAATGTAAAGCAACTCAATATAAGGAAGTAGAACAAAGTTGGTGACTTGGACAATATCAAACAATTTTCCCTACCATGCATTGACTAATTACTGCCAAATTTGTAGATATTAGTACAAGTCAAGCGCATTTCATCAAAGGATAACAGAACATGCTTGTTCCCTAGAAGTTAGAGGGCCTCTTTTTTTTCTCTTTGAATTTTGAACGTAGAAGACCACCTGCTTCAACTTTCACGTGTAAGAATTATTAACGTTGTAGTCCATAGCTAAAAGCATCAAATTGAAACGCTATTCCATAATGTTGGAGAGGATAAAAGATCAACAACATCGCTTAGGACAAAAGAAATTTTGTGCAGAAAGTTTCAAAAGGAACTGAACTTGCAATAAAATGTAGAGCTCTGAAGGGATAAACAAAGATAGATCACTGAAAATTTTCATTTTTATCGTGTCAAAATATACCCCAAAGCAGTACATTACAGATTCTAACAGTTGTACTCCTTTCAGACTTCATTTTCATTGTTGTAATACTTATAAGCCAAGTGTTAGTTGCGGCGGAAGTGATTTCAGAGTCTTTTCTTACCTACTTTTGATACTTTAGCAAAATTTAATTCACTCCTCAGTCTTTGTCAATTGTCGCAATGATGGTTTATTGAATTTTTCTCTTGTTAGTTCTGCAGGACTATATCTGGAAAGACTGTGCAAGATTCTGACGTGAGGCCTCTCTCAGTGTTGGAAGACACTTTAAATTATCTGAGTAACTTGCTGGATTCTACAGAGCATCCCTTTGAGGTGGTTCATGACTTCATCTTTGATAGGATGAGAGCCATTAGACAAGATCTAAGCATGCAAAATATCGCTTGCAGTCGAGCGGTCTCTATGTATGAGAGAATGGTATGCTCATTAATCAGGTTATCTTATCCAAAAGAACTTGAATTAGAGCTGAATGGAATATGTGTGTCTAGATGCATGAATCATGATATGGTTGCATCTTACCATCCTACGGTTCCTGCATCTCAATCTTCTTTCCTCGAGTCTTAAATCCACTGCGAGCAAATTTTTAACATTGCAGAAAGCAGAAAAAGATCAATAAAGGAACTTGAGAAGCTTGTAGATTGAATTCAAAAGATGAATTGATTTGATAATAAGAAGTGAATATGTTGTTAGATGTGGATGTTGTATCCCCTACTAGATACAATTTTTAACCAATTTGTTGATACAAATTTAGCCATTGGGCCACCTTAACCACTTGGCCATGTTCTCCCAATCACTCTGCTAGTTTCTTGCATGTTGACTTTCATCAGTTCCCTGTGTGTTTAAGGGAACAACTGAATTTTGATGTAAATAGCTTAGTAATTATGTACCTCCAGAGTGCTTTTGTTAATGATTTTCTTTACCTTTTTCTCAAAAAAAAAAAGAAGGAAAAAAAATTGTGAAGGAGTAGAAGAGGGAAGAACATTTTTTTATAAGGTAATAGTTTCATTAAGAAGGGCAAAAAACGTGCTCGTATACAAGTATATCAAAAAATAGAAAACCATTTTAAACCTTACAAGAAGAAATGGTTTTCTGCTAAAGACACCCAATTACCTCCACAAATAGGAACCTCATGGGTGCACGAAAATGAAATAAGGGAAAAAAGGCTATTCCTTAATTGTATAAAGTCTTCTTCTACTCCCTCAAAAGCTCTCATATTTCTCTCCCACCAAACGATTCACATAAGTGCTAGAGGATCGACATCCCATTCCATCTTCTTCTGTGACTTGATTGCTGACATTACACAGTACCCGCCTCCTTATATTGTGATCTTAATCTGATACAACAAATAAGTATTTTTTTCTCTTCTTGTAGGCTAAGTATTTATTTCCTTCAATGTAGAGAATATCCTCCTCATTCGATATATAACCCCCTTCTTTGGTAATCTTTCGTTTGGCTGGTATGACAAGGAAACATCTTATTTAGGAAACCAAGCAAATAATTTTTTCGTATAGATTCTAAGCTTAAAATGTTCAAGTACTCCTTCTTTTAGTATTAATGCAGATTGCAGAATGTTTAGAAATATGTAGCTCTAATATGGTTTTCTCCACAGGTTAAATTTCATATAATATCCCAGCATAAGCTTAGAAGATGTAGCGGTTCAAGTATTTCTTCGCTGTCATACCTCAACATGGAGCAGCTTACGAAAGCATTGGCAACTTTATTTAATCTTTATGAAGCAAGTCGAACTTCAGAATCCATCTTTGAAAATGAAGCTGAATTTTTTTCATTTTATGTGCTTCTCCGCCTTGATTCTAAAACCCAAGGAACAGTTAGGTTTTCATTTTTTTTTCCTTCCTCTTTCTGAATTTATCAAAGATTGTGAATTGTTGATAACTATCAGGAGCTTACTCAGAGACCGTTTTCTTCATTCAATTTCATTAAACATTGTTCTTCTTGATTTGCAGGGGGAGACACTATCTTTATGGTTCCGCCGTGTTCCTTCTCACATTATGAAGTCAACAGAAATGAATTTTGCTCGGAAGATCTTGAGGTAGATCAAAGGCATTTAGTATCAATTATAGTTGCTAGTAGAATACTTTTTATTTTTGTATATGGGAAGTTCAACCTTTTATTCTTATTTGTAAATTATTTTGTGACAGATACTTTAAATTGGGCTTCTACAAGAAATTTATCCATATAACAGAGTCTGAAGCATCCTACCTGCAGTATTGCATTATTGAACCTTCTATCAATGAGGTGAGTTCTTATATATCAGCAAATTATATTTCTGTGGCATATGCTCTCTCTCATTTGCCTGATAAATATTGTTTTCACTCCTCCCCTGCTTTTCGTTACTGTTGGAAGAAAATTGGGGTTTGATCCTTCTCCCACCATATTAGTCTGCTTCTTACTGAGAAGAAAACAGGAAACTAAGGCCTGTCTAAAATGGCAGCCTTTAACGTCTAGTTTGAAGCATCCCTGACTAATGCTGGCATTGAGAAGCAAAATGCTCCAACTTTTAAGTGCTTTAACAATTTTCTCTACTTAAATAGAATTCCCTTCTTAACTTTTTCTGCTCCCCACCCCCC